TGACCACCTGAGAAGTTCACGTCATCCTTGCTAAGTAGCACCAACTGTAGAAATGAGGCTGTTTATCGGTGGTTAACAGTGAATGATATGAACCGAGATACAATTGGGATCACTTTTTATGTTTCCAGACGGCAATCGTTTATCATTGTCTCAAATCTCAATGTCAGCAACCTTGTGAGTAGTTTCATTTATGATAATATACTGCGATATCTCGAATATCGTGCCAGCTGAATCATGAGGCGGCCTGTGGCAGCACATTCAGCTGGAGGACATCATAAACGAGAGAATTAAATTGATCTCCCATGAAAACCAAATCGATTTGCAAATGAGTGCATTTCTCGAAGACTTATACTTTATTCGCAGTTTTCTTTCTTTCCGGAGACCACCGCGAGGGAAATCTCATTTACACGGTATCTTTATGCATAGTTTCTGTGAAAACTTCCTTCTCAGATAGAACCGTCTCCCTGAAACAAGACATCTGTGTGTCCTTCAACATCATCTCTATTGGGAGAGAATATCTTTTGTTGCAGAACCCATGATTCCTGCAGAATTGTTGTACACCAAAACACGGTTCTACTCAATAGTCAGCTGTTTTCTCCTCGGGTAGCTGAATCCAGCCAAATTTCTCCTTCATGATGGCCCCATTTAGCAAAATGTGTTGCACAGGGCTTCCTCATATTTTCGTTGACACGCTGCTCGAGATATCTCAATACAGTATCTTGGCATAACGCACTACTCATTATGATGTTGAAAACTCTGATAACCCACGGCTGTTTTTGCTATTCTTAAGGTTCATCAGCTGGTGGCTGCATTGATTTTTTTAACCGTATATTTTACTTGCAAATAATAAAAGTTGACAACTTCTATTTAGGTCGGAGTAAACTCAGGAACTGAGTTTAGCTGATGAGCCCCAGAAAGGCTGAAAGCGGTCGTGGGCTGCCGAAGAGACTTCTACGTTCTTATGAGAAGTATCTTGATAGTTTTCCAAAATCTGATCACCATAAGCTGTGTTGTATGTTTATATGCACTTTAGAGCCACGTAATAATTTACTATGTTAGTTTTAAACCACCTTGTTGTAGGATGTGTAACCACACTCACCCCCAAAAAACTCATCCCCTGATTTTTGGCAGTAACGTAATCGAGCTCATACCAAGAGTCGTGTAAGAAATACTGGGACTTTTGGGAACAAAATTCCTTTTTCAGAAAAAGTTTCGCCGAAATCGGTCATTGGGAGTCGAGCTCAGCTTGCTTATGTGAGTGCTGAGATCAGTATACATTCAATGAAATCTCCCGCTGCAGGTGTAGAGTGTTTTAAAGCCTTACAACAGTTTACAAACAGGTTTTTATTCTGTGATAAGTTAAGTTCAAAAACATCTGCAAAACTTTCCACATGTGTTTCTTTAGATAAGTCCTTGATGCGTTTTTTCTTACCAACATCCTCCTCTACCTTTTGAGGCTGTGCGAAATAAAACCCTGATGGAGATTTTACTTCTTTGCATGTTTTGATTCCCCCAATTAAGGTTTCTTATATGTTGGAGGTTTCTTCTTTTGAATTCTGAAAGCCATATTTTGTATGACTATTTGTTTTCGCCTTAATACTCGTGCAGAAAGACGTGATCGGCTGATCGATCGATTTTGCAAACGTTCTGGAACAGTAACTAAACTGCATCTGATCGAGTCATACGAGCTATCATCTTTACGAATTCTCCGTGGTTGCCAGGTTCGATGATCTCATCCTTTTTTTGTGAGGGTTTTTATCAACGTTTCATTACCAATGCGTTGAACAAGTGCTTCAACGTTTGTGAACACTGAAGGAGCACACTAAGCCAATGACATTTTCCTTATTATCATATCCCGCATCTTGTTTACAGTGTCCACGTAGCAACTTCTCGATCACTTGTGGCAAAATGCATATTCTGCAAACAACCATTAATTTTTTCATGGTTTGACATCTTTAAACCTAAAAAAGTAGAGAAATATCTCGTGTGAAGCCTTTTTTAAGCTGAGCAAACAAGGCACTTTGCCTTCCGTAAAATGAAAAAATGAAACCCAGAGGGGTTGCTGTTAATTCGGCAGTTACCAATGGTCGAGAACATTGATCGTTGCTGCACAATCACTTTTTATATGGCTGAAAGATCAGTGAACTCCAAATCAACTAGGTTGATGTTGTTCACCGCGTAAATAAAAACCTCGCATAATGAAGGTTCTCAACTTTTGGCTTCATCAGGCAGGACTTGACATCGACGATTTGGGCACTAACCTAAAACTTCCAGTCCCTTGTCAGTAGCCTCGGCTGGGGAATTCCGATTAGGCTTGAAAAGTGGTGAGAGACAGATGTGAACTTATTCGAACAAATAACTGAGTACCCGTTAGTTCACCATGCCGGTGGCTAATTGATCATAGGATTGAGTAGAAAATTGGTAAAAGTCGAACTTCAGACGTAAAATTACTGTGCCGGTCGTGTAGATTTGTTAGCCAGTGCCTAAAACTGTTAACCAAGGTGGCAGTTGATCGGTTCATTTACATTAACCTAATGAGTACAAATAGGGACGAATACACTCGTATAGCATAATTTTTGTGCTTGATCTCATTCTCGTCAAACATATTCAATCACGTTCGAGTTTATAACTTCGTTTCCAAAGTGAATCTAACTAAATATTTAAAACATATAGGTTGTTCTTCAGTATTTGGAAGATCTTTTAAACAGAGATGTCGCTCGTTTAAACCTGACCAAAACTTCCACTTTTATACAATTTTTCTGCAGGAAACAGAATCAGGCGGGTGTCAACAACTTTACTTGTTACTTTTTGTATGAAAATACAGTTTACCGTAAAGTCGGCACCGAATAGACTTGAAACTGGAGTGTCTGGTTAGCATGGACAACTGAACCTAGTGATTTGTATATATTGTAGAAAACGCTGAATAAGTATAGACGCAGAAAATCACAAAACCTTGAGCAAAGTTCGAAAATTATTCAAACTGATAAATTCGTCTGTCTGTTTGACAGTAGTCGAGCGTAACGCGAAGACAGCCTGTCGTAAAGCATCAAGATTATCATCGAATTTGTTGATTAGCGTTTAGAGAGAACATTCAAATGGATTGAATTTTTCGATGAGTATCCCAGGTGTACCCAACGTTAACAGAAAATCATACGTCCTGGCTGAAAATGAAATGAGAGCTTTTTGCCTCGGAAAAGGATTCTGCCTTGTGGTAAGCGTGTTAACACTACCCGACTAGCCTGCATCAGACCCATCAAATTTATGCTACATATCCGTCCATTTTAATTGATTTTGTAACTAATCAACCTAACTAACAGAATTTCGTATCAACTGGGCAAAACCTGAAGTGATGTCGTTTTGAAAAAGTTTCAGAATCAATTGGTGAAAATAACTGACGATCCCTTACTTGGCTCCGGGCGTTTTTAAGGAACAAAAATAACCTTGCGACAGACCACTACCGGCATTCAAAGCATCCTAGGAAATGTTATTTTGCTTGGAAAAAACGTAGACGCTAAAACTGACGGATGTATGTTGATGCAACATATGTAAAACTTGACAGTTAATTCTTGTTAAAAAAGCAAAAGATCATCGAAGTCTGAATTAACTGGGCTAAATTAAAAAGATGGTTCTTCGTGTGTGCATTAGGTGACGGACGAAGTAGACATAGTTTTACTTCTCTTCTTTGGATTTTCGCTACCTCAGATCATTCAAGTTTTCTTGAAATACAGTCGTATTGTTTCACGTAATTTAGACTACGATACAAAAATCGGTCATTGTGGAGACAACCGTGTCCTAACGGGCGCACGGTTAACAGTATATGCATTTACTTGAGCAAAAGTTGTGATTTGCAATCAACTCAAAATTTATGTGTCTTGCTCTCATATTTTTTTGAATTTTTAATTTTGATATTTATTGATATATAATAAAAAGGGGCTTCATATGCAAAATTGAAGCTCGGATTCATAGCACATACAAATTTACGCTGTAATATATGCGTGAAAATAAATAGATCATGAGAAGCTTGTCACTCTTTATCTGAGGGACGCGTGCTTTCACAATGTGCCTCCGGAAACAGTGTAAAACGTACTTTTCATATATTAGTTCTTAGCTGTGAAAATCTGAATCCTTTTTCATGTTGCGGGCAAATGAACCTGATCGCGTTTGAACGCACTGTTTTTCGAGGTCAAGATAGCCCAATGAATAAAATGTAGAATAACTGAGCGGAAGGTCCTTGGTTCAATCCGACCTCGACAACCAAAATTTTCGCTGTCTAGGCTTGGGTAATCTGATAGCGTCGCTTTCACGTCTCTTTCGGGTGGCGTGACAGCTGTGCAATGGAAGCACATTACGGCTGTGCGAATACTACTACAATGAACACAGTGCTTAATGCCTTTTGCATTCTAATCTATTCTGCAAATTCCGCGTTCTTAAGAAAGCATTAATGAAATTAGCGGCACTTCTTCGCTGAAGTTCTATGGTGATCAATGTGGACAGAGGGACCATCAAATCTCATTTTGGTAGACAGAATTATTTCACTTTGCACACTTTGTTTTTTATTACGGCTTCTTAAATGATCCAAACGATAGCAAACTCTGGTACCAAATTAAGTTTGTCGAATTCGAGTTGCCAACACAGAAATACTGAAGCGTAATTTGCTCTGACATATGAAACCAACATTATTACGTAATGAGGTCCTCCACTATCACCTCAGCTGTTCACTCAAAGTTTGTCTTTTCAATACTTAAGTCGCCAAAAAGAAACTATGGTAGACTTAGCTAAATTTTAGGCTTAGAATATTGACAAAGTACGCTGTGAAGACCGAATTCCCTTGGTGTCACTCAAGGAAAAATAAATAGAAATTTGGGAGGAGTATGCATCAAATTGGAAGTGAATATAATTTTTAGCCCCGCTTTACTCAGCAAAAACACAGATTAATCACAGACATCGTGGCAAACTTCGTCTGTATACGAAAACGCCAAAATTCTGAGATGGAAACTCACTCGGTTTGATCATTTTGGAATTCCAGATATCCAATTGCATCCTCGTAATCCTTTCCACCGCCCTTTGCACTACCTTCAATTGTTTGGTACGGAACTCGTACAATCCCGCGACAACCTTATAAAAGAAAATGAAGTACAATTGTTTTTTGTCTTTCCAAACTGGCTTTATCGACAGTTTTATTGCCGACGTTTTCGAAGCACCGGTTTTGTTACTGATGTTTAGTGCCATGCCTATCGCTCATATACCTTATCCGCAAGTTCGAAGAAGTTGAATTTCTAAGGAAAATATTGCTAAGACACGATTCAATCTTTTTCAGGTGAATATATTATCAATTAATTATGTAGGAAAAGTGAGGGGTAAAAATGCTTGATGGTTCCGAGAAAATTGCAAGGTCTTCGGCAATTAATAATGTCTGGCAAAACAACAACTACTTTTATGGAGCGAAGACTGTTAGCTTGCCCTGCTTCGACAGACCCGGTGGCTTGACACACTAACTAGCGTGTCATTTATGAATCTATATTTGCGAAATATTACAAAAATATCTATATTGGCAAAAAAGTGGACATAGTACAGTACAGACAGTATGGTATATGTACGGACACAGTTGGTGTACGCACACTCAGTCTAAGTATAGGACAAAACACCTCAATAAGTCTTGAAGGAAACCCAGTCTTCTCACAGTACCTCCCGAGTAGGAAGAGCATTTCTCCAGAAACCTAATAATCAAATCAACCAGCAATAAAATAATGGCTTTACAAATAGTTCACTTATATTCTATTCGATTTTTTAAGCTATTCCCGCTTACCCATAGAGAACCACAAACACGTGTCCATTCATTTGTGAATCTCAATGACATTCAGTTACCGTTGCCACTTTCTGTCACCTATACTGGTTTTGGCTGCCTCCTAAAAGGATTTCAAGCTGTTGCTAAGAAACACTGCAGATTCAACAGCCTAGTTACCAAAGCCCTCCCGTTACACAGTAGTTTTGTTCTCTCACAACAAAAACTTTTTAAAACAAAGCAGGACTTTGGACAAAAATAGCAATCTTGCTAAACGGAATGCCATTTTGATGCAATCATTTAGCGTGTAGGGTTTGACATTTGGTTACTTTGTTGTGTGAACAGCCGACGACTGTAGTTTTGCAACAGCTTGCAATAAGTATAATGTCTTTGTTATACTTGAGGTTATAAAATCGCCGCATGTGGATTATGCGTGGCTCAAATCGTTTAGCAGCCAGCATAACGCAAGTCTTAAACATCAAAACGTAGTGCCATGCTATAATCTGATGCAACGATAGATCAAACATGGAAAGGGCTGAAGATAACATAGATAGGTTTGACTGTCCCTGGGATCCAAACAAAGCTGGTGTAGACGTGTTGGTGTACCATGTTTATGCTTGCTGAAGTTGTACACTCATGCTGAGTTAGACATTTTCAACTCCACTGGAAAATAGCTGTGTGAAAAAAGCCCACGTCTATCCGTAAACCTAATTTGACGGGCTAAAACACTCACAAGACAGTGGGGTTCTGGGAGTATTGTGTCTGTTCATTTGTGAAAAGCAGCCCCTCACTCAAAAGCATACAAAATAAAGTAGTCATTCAGCTAATGCAGGCGTTCCATCTTTATACATAACTTCACCCAGAAACGAAGGTTGGTTTTGTCTTTCCCAAGAGGTGGCGCTTATACAGAAGGACTATCTGCGTAGTTTTGCCCTAGTAGTCTGGACGTTTTTGTTCTTCTTTTTCAGAATACCATGTAAGTCTTAATATGCCGGAATGATACAAACTTTACAATGAAGGGACTGCATCTAAACAAGTAACGATCACGCTGGTTGTGCTCAAATATCCAATTTTTGATTTTAATGCTTGTGATTTCATTTCCTGCTTTTGACCGCAAATCTAGTTTTCTAATCTACTGACACTATCTCTGTTCGCATCTTTTCTGTTTGACATGTTCTACTTTTGTCCCAGAGAGACAATTTAGGATAGTTAGCACCAAAGACAAAATGGGTGGACATAAATTCAAAGTTATTTGGGCTGCTTAACCCTGCGTATCCTACACCATCACCAAAACTAATAGTGTGGACGAATTACACGCTAAGTGATCATTCCATTGCTGTTTCACCAACGCACGCCAAGTGCCTCCGAACTTTTGGGTCTGGCCGGGCAAACGGGCTTAATTTTATGTAGCGAGATTCGCCCGCTTGGCTGAGAGCAACACCTTAGTTTTATTAGACTGGTTTATTTTCCGTGAAAAGAATAACACAACACTAAATATTTCTAAACATAGAAAACGTATACATTTATCGATTGATCACTTTTTACAGCCTGGCTCCCCTTGCGGTGACGCGTCACAAAAGTGGTTTTAGGTATGCTGTATACTTCTACTTCTTTTATATAAAGCCAGATTATTTATGTCAGCTGAAACCGCGGGAGAGCTGCAGCTGTTCGAACAGTAAAATGCACCCTTTGAAGGCTATTTATGCACTTTTCGTAGGTGTGTCTCATCAACTTTCTCTTCGTGATCTTACAGGACCAGTTTTGTAGTATATCGATATGACTTCACCTGGCGCTGATAATATACAATCTATGCGCTTTTAGTTTTCTCAAAAGCCCTGTCATCAACGTAAAATATAACCTGTAAAGCGTTTGAAGTTGCCTATTTTGTTTATTTATTGATAAAAAATTAAAGTTAAATATTCCACGCTATAGTAGTACCCAGTTCATTTAACAATAAAAAAATGGTAAATGGTTGAATTGTTAGCATGAATCGCCAGTCTTCGGTAATGCGGTGACCGGACAATTCCAGTGTAGAAAGGGTATTACTTTTATGGGAAAAATTTATCTCTTATATCAGGGTTGCCATCACCAACCTTGAAATCCTCTCCAAGAGCTAAACCAACTGCGTTTATAAGTGGTGCCTTTCATAATTTGCTGAAAAGTGAAATACTTTTTAATTGAAAAGGGCATTTCGAAAGTAAGTTGTCTCAGTATATATGGCGCGCTCTGGAAGGCACATTCTTTATGATACCATTCCAAAGGCTCTAGACTAGCCTATTAATAAATTCCCTTCCTCGTTTCTGCTGCCCAAAAATTAGGTTAAACAAAGCCCCATTGTGGGTAAACAATGCGACGCACGGTGAAAGCTACTTAATTTGATGGTTTTAATTACTTTTGCTACGTATTTTGGTTAAAGAATCAACACATATATGAAAAGCAGTCGCAATCGTTAGTCTGTTAGAAATGATGATCTGTTCAATTGACTTTTTTCTGCACTTGTTTGCCATCAGTTAATTATTTGTGCCCGTTAGCTTGTTACAACGTTCAAAAATTTGTACTGCTTATCTTCTACAAATTACTGGATATTAAGATTAACTCAACGGTTATCAGCTCACCTACACTCGCCTAAGACACTACAAGGAATGGCGTCTGAGCAGTGTAAGTGGCGTTCGTGCTGTCATTTTTTCCTCAGGTGGTTTGATTTGTGAACACTACAATGCTCGCTAAAAGTCCAATTTTCACCCACTTTTTTCATCACTTCAGCTGAAAGTGCTAAATACAATCAGATAAAATTTGCAATGGTACGGGAATGGAGCATCATTGGCAACACCGATGTAATTGCTTTTGGTAATGAGGACGAGGGTGGAAAATTGCCTCGCTTTGCGGTTTCCACCAGTCGTGTAAAACCCATGAATTCAACCATCAGTTATTATGGACTCTTAGAATCTCAGGTAACTTGGGCCCTCAAAATGGTGGCTGCTTTCCAGCGGACCTTTTATACTGTTGATTACATGATGAGCTATACCCTGGATTGCGCAACTTGCTTTCCGAACTTCGTGGCTTTACAAAACCTTTAATTATGTAGGACAAAACTACCCACACTGGAAGCAACCGATATAATTCACGACGGGTTATGTTCCGAATTAAAACGTTGATGAAGTGAGGGATGATGCTGGTATTTCCGTGGAAGCCAAGTTGCTGGCACCAAGCTCACTGTTATGCGTTACTTTTTTATCTGTGGACAGCATTCAACGTTCTTCCACTAACCTTGTTGTCGGGTGTCTGTAGTGCTACCAAGGTTTTTCAATGGGGGCTGCATTTGAATTAGTGCAAGCCAGTTCTGGCCTCCTTGCTATGCTTGAGAGTTTTTTCCAATCATTACTGACAATGAATAATAGCTCATACACTTTAGGCGAACGAATATTTGAAAGGCTATACTGTGACAAATGAACAGCATGAGGAGGTCTCACTTGAAAAAGTCGAGATATTATACGCCTCGGAATACATTAATTTTTTTGAACCAGAAAGAAGTACAAAACAGTGTTACCAAAATATGCTGCTTTGGTTTTCTGTTTTAAGCTTGTTCCGAAGGACAGACACTGTGCAGCATTCAACGTGTTGGCCACATAAATTGCCAAGATTTATGGTTATCTGCGTTACATTTCAGCCTTTTTATTTTTGTTTCATCATCTAGATGACTGCAACTCCTTCTTAAACTAAAGTACATTTTTCTAAAATTGCGTTTTCAAACGCCTGTTTAAACCTTTTTTTTTTATTTTCCGGACCGTGGGAACAAAGTTTCCAAAACAACCGAGATAGACGGGAGAGAAATCCATTGCTACAAATGGCATAAGTTGGGTTTGAAATAGGCTTCAATGCATCGCTACATAAAATTTTTGAGTACAATCAAAAACCAGATAGTATTGTGGGTGGATTCGGAACGAAAATTTTATTGATCAGTTTAAAACGATGAGGTAGAATCTAAGTTTTTTAAGCATAAATTTAAAAGCATTAATATTAAATATACTTGTCTCAGTAAATTAATTTTCTGAGATATCACCCTATTTAACAAAACTATCCACGATTGAAAGGAAAGGCTAAGCTTTAAAGTGTCTGCCAGTTTTGCCGTATGATACAGGAGCAAATGAAAAAGCGCTCCAGTCTTTTTTCATTCCAATAAATTTCGGCGTAGTAAATGCAAGCACATGCGGCCAGTTAGTAGCATAAATAGAAACATTTTACTAGTTACAGCTTCCTACTTAGTGCATTCGGGAAAAAGTTTCGTCAGGTGTCAGAAACAGAATGTTCCATAGAATAAAATGGCGTTTCCAATTTAAGTAGACTTACGGAGCCGTGAATTCCATATCGTAAACTTACGCAGAAGTTGCAGAACAATGAAACGTTGAAAAAAATGATCTGTGTATATTTCACTTCAAAAATTCTGTTTTTCGCAGTCCATAATTACTATTAGTGACATTTTATCTACAGCAGCCAGTGTGTCCAAAATGTATCTTGTATTATTTTTGCCTGTGACCAAGACAGCCTCAAAAATCAAGAACATGGTGTGTTTTTTACTAAGCAGCTTCATCGCACGATAAATCAAAATGGTGAATCCGCCTAAGTTATATTTTAACTCAAAACTTTACACACACCCAATTGCTTAGTACTATCATTAATCTACTTAAAAGTTAGATGTACAGCACGGTAAAACTTTGCATTCCCGCTTACCTGAATCTCTTAGCACCTTCAATTCAGCATACTCGCATGATTCAGGAACTGACGTTGCTTGCTGCTCAAAATGAAATACTCCTGAATGGTCGTCATCCAATACCATAATTGTAGCTTTTGTCGGCTCCACAAGGAGGGGCTCCACAAAGGTGTTGGAATGAACGACAGTTGGATCAGTTAATATCACAGTGAAGTGTTCGTCTTCCTCAAAAATATCATCGTCGATTATGGTGATCGAGAACTGCTTGTGCGTTTCGCCAGCTTTAAATACAAGCACACCAGAAACTGGCACATAATCTTCATCCGCGACTGCCGTACCGTCTACAGTAGAGTAGTTCACTGAAACAACGGCATCCAAGTCACCTCCAACCCTGCTGACAGTTATGGGAAAGGTGCCAACATTTTCCATAACAGTGTAGTGCCCAGGGTTAAAGAAAATCCGCTGAACATGCGGAGCGTATGATTCACTTTCCATACGTTGATCGTCAGACGACATCCTACGCTCAACCTTCGCCTTCTTTATAACGTTTCCACTCCCGGTTAACTGGCGCGTGGCTTGCATCCTGTAGAAAGCCCTTGATTTTGGGCCCTTGCTTAAAACGTCAAGTTGCGCCATTTCTTCCAATTGTTTCATGTCTATATTTGGGTTCTTCTTTCTTATCTCCTTGATTGCATCGACGTAGTTTAGTCTGGTACGTTCGAATTCAGAAACCTGGCTATCATCTGACTCTGGGACATACGTCACCTCCTCGGTATGGTTTGGGTACTCTGCGTCTATGTCTATTGATTTGAGTCTTCCAGCTGCGCGGAACTTCTTCTTTAGGAACTTTTTGAAAAATATTTTTGTGTCAGCGATGTACGCGCAGATAACTATTATGGGGAAGAAAATGAATGTGAGCAATGCCTCCCAAATTTCGACAACCCCTGGGCTGAAAGCTGCTATAATGAGGTACAACCAGAGATAGGCGAAAATGCTCCACGAGGCTGTTATAAAGAAAACGCTCAAGTGTTTTATTCGTCGAACCTCTCCCTCAGGAATAACCAGCACACATATTCCAATGATGACGAACAAATTAAAAGCAGCAGATCCAACAATTGTTCCAGGCCCGAGATCTCCAGCCTCAAAATTTTTACCGATGATTTCAATAACAGATAATAAAATTTCAGGTGCTGATGAACCCAGAGCCATTAGTGTGAGGTTGGAAACCGTAGTATTCCAAATGCGTACGTATATAGTTTGAACTTCGCCATTCTTCTTTCGCACTGTTACTTCCTTTTCTTTCGATGTGATCACCTCGATGGCTGCCATAAACCGATCTGCTATTATAGAAACTCCAAGGAATAAATAGAGTAGACAGGCAAAATATATCGTTGCCCTGGCCAATTTATCACCAACACTGAGACCGGTGGATGGTTCCCATTTTGGAATCAGGATACCATCAACGCATGCTGTTTTCTTACTTGATGGACACGTACCATTGATGAGCTTGTCCTCAGTGGATGGGTAGACCAAAACAACGAAGATGAGGATAAGTAGCAGAAAACGTAAGGTGGTCATAGGCCACATTTTATATCACACTGAAGGCATTTGAGTATAGGTGATATTCCCTGTTATTAGAGTGACTTTTTATGTAAAATGAAGTCTTTCCAAATTACACCGTCGTGAGCTGGCGCGAAAATGCACAAAAGCATTTGAATATTGCTCCACTTTCTACGACCTTGGAATATCTGTCCTTTTCCCTGTGTTTAATAGGTTCGTAATCGAACTAGATGCCACTGACAAGAGACATGGTTTGACGCAATGCTGATACTAGAATCCAGTTTGAAGCGCTCTCGTAATATGTGCAAGATGCAAAATGGAATGTTCCCCGATGAGAATGCTCGAAAAACAGAGATGCTGTGTCGCCCCAAACGGGTTTGCAGAAAGTGCTCTTTGCGCAGGTGAGCTACAACAGCAAGTTAAATCCGGGGCCTCTGACGCCACAGTGGCCCCGTGTAACTCATGCAACTAGTGAAAGAATTAAACGTTCATGGTATGTGGAGAATTGAATGGGAATCTTAAGAGTTGCAAACTAGGATCAAGGATGCTTCCTGTTGCATTTCCATGGTGAGCACCCAGAATTAGAGGACGTAATTGTCAATTGTGCTAGCAGTGGTGAATATGCCGAGCTCATCTCATCTGTTACGTTATCATATAAATTATCTGCATTTCCACCAAATATCGGGACCTTAGTTGCTGTATCTCAACTTCCGATGAAGTTAGTTACTTCGGTGCATGCCCATGTTTACGTCCATTTGAAGACAAGGAACCGGGGGGTCTTTGGAACGTCGGCCAGCAAAATATGCTTGTCAAAACGCTGACGGCAATTATTTTTTATCCTGTGAAACAGAGAATACCTGGGTGGCTAGAAAACGGACGAGTGCGTGTTGTGCTGATTAAGACGAATAGCACTAGCCACAATGGTGAATTATATCCAAGTAGTGCAAAAATAGCACGTTTGACAAGTTATGGCACCACCAGAAGGAGTGGCGGACCTGACTTTTGAACAGAAGTCTAGGAACATTTACTGGAGAACAGCTCGCACGTGTCGGATCGTAAAGTCGTACTCATGCAACCAGAGTGCTCAGCGCGCCACCATTCCGCGAGAATCTCTGATGTTCATCATTCGCTCCAGAAGATTGTGGTCGATCCTAATATAAAAGCATTGTCCCAGCAATTATGTCCTTCACTAATCGACAAGTTATGCACCACCAGAAGGAGTGGCGGACCTGACTTTTGAACAGAAGTCTAGGAACATTTACTGGAGAACAGCTCGCACGTGTCGGATCGTAAAGTCGTACTCATGCAACCAGAGTGCTCAGCGCGCCACCATTCCGCGAGAATCTCTGATGTTCATCATTCGCTCCAGAAGATTGTGGTCGATCCTAATATAAAAGCATTGTCCCAGCAATTATGTCCTTCACTAATCCAAAGTCCAGACGACCACTAGAGTTTCTTCCTCAATAGTTCAGTTCTTCTTCCAAGCCTTAGTCAGGACATGACTGACATATTCCATGAGTCCATTCTTCTGATTATGTTCTGCGAAGACATCGCTGTCACCATCGTCCGTTGCAGCAGTAAAAATTCCATTGAGAGTCAATTGCTGGACCCACATTCGCGCTTGACACGTTCGAAAGACTCATGTGCTCTTCTGTTCAATCCGAATTTTCGAATTTTCTCAAGCAAATAGTGCAGTGGGGCAGCAATCGTGTCCAAATCATTGGCAGACCAATTGAAGTATGCTGTTCGTACAAAAAACAACCGTAAAGAATTCTTGGAATTGGAGACAGCGCAGCACCCTATCCGTGAGCGGCAACCTTCTGTTATTCCTTCTTTAAACGAAGCATCAAGCGCCAGAATCTGAGCGGTGCCCCCAATAAGGCAAGCGGACTCCTTGTGGAATTATATTGGGTTTTAACAACTGTTCCCTCCCCGCCTCCGCCTTGATAGATAGTTTCGAATATCCGGGACGCAAGTCGAAAACCCTGAAATTCCAGAGACGCTGGGGGGACTAGAAAACGTCCGCAGTTGCAACCCGATTTGCGGTCATTTCATTCAAGCGCCGGAACTCCGCGCAAGGTTATTTTTTCGTTTATCCTCACACACACGACGTATAGGTTGCGGGTACTTTTGGACCGTAAAATTCCGGGGACGCTGGAGGGACTAGAAAATGTCCGCAGTTGCAACCCGATTCACGGTCATTTCATTCGAACGCCGGAAATCCGCGCAAGGTTAATTTTCGTTTATCCTCACAGACACGACGTATAGGTTGCGGGTACTTTTGGTTTGTTGCACTTTGTCATTTTTCAACCTGTTTACGGACCTCCCCCCGTAGATGAAGCGGAACAGGACGAAAGCCGTATAGTCTACGCGTTAGAACGAAAAGGAAATTTCGTTTTCAACCGACAGCAGAAGCCAAACCGATCTCCCTTGCCTGAAAATAGGTTAGAATACTTCTTGACCACAGGCTGTCCTGACATCAACTTACACGATGGTAGCTTCCGGACATGCAGTTCGCTCATGGTAGTGCTTGAGTAACGTTCAAGCTTGACTGGGCCACTCTTCGCCATCAGCTCATTGTATGTAACGTTCACCACGTATTGTGTGATCTTGAGAAAATCCACTCTCAAAATTGTCTCTTCTGTCTGGGCTTATCAGGGACTCGTGCGACACGGGGCCGTCACCTTGGCGCATCGAGTGCATTAACAATCCGTTAATTTTCAGTCGGTATTGCTCATTCGCCTTAAATACCCACGTTTGTATTCAGATTTTTTCGTTCCCTGTCTCGGTTAAGCCCTGGCTCTTGTATCAGCCATGAAAGGCTCTCTTTTCGAGTCCAAATTGACAATGGCTTCTAGCGCAGCCTGTGTCCCAGCACTAATCGCAATCAACCCGGGAAATGTAGAGCAATCCAAGAAGTCACTGTTTATATGTAATCCATTAGGGCGTCATTCACACTTCCACTGGCTAGACGCGGCAAAGCTGTAGCACTGACTCGTTCGACCGTGTCTCCGCAATCCCGTCTTAACGCCCTTAGTCTGTTTGATTAGCTCATCTACTTTGGTTTGCACGTCCTCCACGTCCTCCTCCTCACTCTGCTTCTGTTACTGCAACAAGACCAGTGGTGCCTATGCCAGAAGCACCAGCTCCTACACGCTCAACCGGTCAGTTACCATTGCCAACCACGACTGGGCACCAAACACCGGCTGTACACCTTCAACGAAATGGTCAGGCGGCAACCGCTTGATAGACAATGAGTCCAGTATGGTGAAGGAACGATCAAATTACTACTGCAGACTGGCGACGGACACGATAGAGGCACATCCGGTTCCATCCTAGCCGTCTAGAACGGCCTCACGGATTCCTGGTTGTTGGACGGTGATTCAAACGTCTCTGCGTGGTTTTCCTTTGCGGTGGCCCAGGCCATCCGCCGGGAACCTTCTCTAGTCGCATCCCTGGGGACTCTCCAGAACCGGCTACGGAGGTGTGTTACGTTTCGTCATACGCGATGGAAATCTTTGATGTCGTGAATCCAACCCAAAAATTTACACCATCAAATCAAGCACTGCACCAGAAAACTCCATTTACATGCACTGGTCATCGTCATCCGCAAGTAGTATACTCTTCAAATTCAGTACGAGTTTTCTGAACGAAATGAATATGTCCAGCACTATTTGTAGAAGACAGCTTACCAACAATGTGCTACCGTTTCCAATCCCATGTGACAGCCAATCCCCATATTTATTCCGCTTGACCAACTGAACTGAAACCTTCTTGTTTTACTGAACTATTTTTATAACTCTCACGGACTTTGGTCGGACATTGTGTATTTTGCGGTTTCTCGCCGTCGATATCTGTTTCGTTTTGACGATATCGATTTTGAGGCGAAGTGATCTGCACTTTATCCTCAGACTGGTGATTGTACTGCCTCATTTTGTAACCCTACGGTATGTGCAGGGGAGAACACGTTGTAATTTGTTGAGTGTGCATATTATTATCTCTGCAATAGTACCGTCATTCCAGAATTCGGATGTCTTGGTCGTTTTCGTGGACACGGGTGGCTTAAACTTAAAAATTATATAACCGTAACAGTACTCATCGGTCTGCGGACTCGGAAAAGATTATGGAGAAAGGCTCGTTAATGGAGTCGGGGCAAGTCAGCCATGCCGGCAATCCTTTAGCTATTGATTCACCTCCTGGCTCTGAATCATGTAAGCTGCGTTGTTGCGGGCACAGCTTAAGGCAGAGGAAATGGAGAAGGAACTGCAGCTTTTGAGGGGGCATAATGGATGCTTTTAGCGGAGTTAGAGCTGGATTCAGACAATGATTCCATCGTTGACGTGCAGGCTGACACACAGGTTAAGGTAAAGGATTACCTAGCCGGCATGGGAAGTAGCACACTCATATGTGAGGCACCAGCGGCCCAACTGACTGGTTGCGTGGTTAAGACAGACTTACCCGGATTGGAGTTAGAGGCTTCCGATGGCAATCCAAGGTGATACTGGAGATTTATGCAACAGTTCAAATACTACATAGAGAATAGAGTGCAAGATAGTGGACAGAGGATGTTATGTTTGATTCATTACTGCAGGGACACAGAGAAGGAAGCCGTGGCAGACTGCGTAATGTTGCCCCCTGGGATTGCTTACGGTAGAGCGAAGGAAATACTCAAAGATCTGTTTGGGAGGGAACATATGGTGGCCAGGGCCATACTGGATGATCTGTTCAAGAAAATGAAACCATTGCATGATGATGCAGATTCACTGTCTAGTTTATCGATAGATGTTCAAAACTGTCACATTGCTCCAAGTCAGATTAATCATACTAATAACATGAATTCCGTCTCGATCATAGAGCGCATTATCCGCACGTTATCGAAGGATGCTCGTTGGAACTGGGCGAGGTTGGCTGACTCTGTGGACAACCTTGGAAAACAGATAGATTTCTCTGACTTATGCAGCTTCGTTTCTCAAGAAGCCCGAATCGCTCGCAGCTGCTATGGTATGCTTAACATATGCTCAGGGCACCATCGTCCTCAAATGCTGCATCATTGAGTAGGCAGCAAAAGGCGCCATAACATGTTTGTTATTCAGAAGGCAACCTATGACTCGTGCCCTTTTTGCGACAGCAGAGTAAGGCTGGCACAATGTCGTAAGTTTACTGACCTACCAACGCAAGCAAGATGGCGTGTGGCAAGAAGGAAGCGACTGTTTTGTATGCCTAAAACCAGGCCATGCTAGTAACAAATGCGATTGTCCTAAGAAGTGTGGTATAGAGAGCTTGAGGTCTCACCACCGTCTATCACATGTAATACCGGATGCCAACATAACCACACTGGTTGGTTTGTGCAACTCGACATCCCAGACAGAATCAGGAACCTACCTTGGCGTCGTACCGGTTCGTGTGAAAGGTCCGCAAGGAAGCGTTCTCAGGTGCGCATTGTTGGACAGTGGGTCGAATGTAACATTGGCAAGGAACGTCTTACTTGATGAGGTAGGTCAACAGCGGGTAGAACCTGTACAGTTGAGGTTGGAAGTCTCAGGATCGAGTTTGAATCGATAGATTCAGGTGAGACCGTAGTGGCTGAACAAGCCTTTGCAATGTGCTTTCTGACTTGACCAGTGGGCCGAAGCAATCTCAAATGACATCCCATTCATTTGGCGCCAAGTTCTCACCATTTGTGCCAATTTCGCCTTGAGAAAGACAATCTCAGACTGGGGGTCGAATTGCATGACTGAGGGGGAACAATCGGTTGATGGACACTTCTAAGTTGATCATCATTTAGCATCACTACCGGATGTGAACGTGGCTCAAAGATTTGTGCATGAACTTAGTCGAGTCCCATCGAAGGGCGGTTTCCGCTTAGGAAGATGGATATGTAATAGAGAGTCTCAGAGGAGTCGCAGAGATGGTTGGAAAGCATGAGATCACTGAGCGAGCTAAAAATACCCCGTTGCGTCAAACCTGTTCACATTTATGATGCGAACGTAGACTCACAAATGTTCAGTGACGCCTCTGAGGTCGAGTGTGATGTGGTTGGGTATTGTTGCTGGTGCGTCGAACCCGAGGAATTCACAGGCATGATGACATATGCCAAATCCAGGTTCGCGCCTTTGAAATAGGTAACAATACCGGGGCTTGAGCTGAATGCCGCGCGACCAGCCGCAAGGATGGAGGAGGAACTGAGGAAGGAAGCAGGATTTTCGTTCACAAGAACAGTTTATTGGACGGACTCACCTATAGTGCTTCATATTATCATTTATTTTTGAAGAGCATGGTCACAAACATAAAAAGTGAATGCGAAAGAGTAACAGGAGAATATGGGAGAAAAGAGAGAAACGTCTCATTCGAAATCATGCCAAGAACAGTGCCAGTCTGATGAGGT